GAGCTCCACCGAAGGCCCGCCCCAGTGGCGCAGTTCGCATGCGGTTCCCCCACCCAAGGCAGCGTTTCGTGGCCCCATCGGGAGCCCCACCGAAAGCGGCACCCACAACGCGTTACGAACAATTGCTTATGGTTGGGTCCTTCGCCAGGATAATTTTCGTTCCCCCTCGTGTTGTCGTCGTTCCGCCTTCGCTGCAAAACGGTTCACGAAATCGCCAAAGCACCGTTAGGCCAGTCCACAAGAGATCGCCCACAAGATACCCACAAGAAACCTAACCCTGAGACCCCAGGACGTCCACTGACTTTTTGTGTGGGAACGTCGCGCTTCCCATTGCAAAACCCTCGAAGCTCAGGGCACCCTGGAGGCAAGCATGGCGTCCTTGGCACGGGTCTCCACTGTATGTTGAGCCTCAGGTCGGGCGTGTCCTCCTACAGGCAGATTGTGGACATAGGAACAAAGCAACTCTCGAAACATGTTCAGACATAGTCAAACGTAGTCAGAAAAATCGTCTCCCGACTATTTTAAACTATTTTTGAATATCCTGTGCATGACAGCTTTTAATACATGTTCAAATTATATGATTTTCATGCATGATTAACGTATGAATAATTTATGCATGAACTCATCGTTGCTTTTAATACTAGATACCTGCATTTTTAATACATCATCCGCACGCGGAGCATGTATTGAAAACGGCACTGTAGAGGGACCGGCCCGACTGCAGTCGAGCCGTTGGGGGTGGAGCGCTGCGCCCAGCCCCCCGGCAGGCAGCGCCCGCAGCGGCCGCGGCCTCTCGGGCCCCCCCCGCTGTGCTCGGCCGCCGCCCGAGGTCTGCGGCACCGCGGCGAAGCAGGCGGGGAGCGCCGCGGCGAGCGCCGCCCGCCAGCGCACGCGCGCGCGCGGTGGAGCCATCGGGGGGGGGGGGGAGAGCAGAAGGCAGGGCTCGACTGAAACGGTGCTTTTCGTTCTCGGTCTGTTCTCGTTTGCTCTCGTTCTGTCTCCAAGCCGCCCTGACTGCTGCAGAACGAGGTCGAAACGACAGCGGCCCACGAGATCACCAAAGCACCGTTCAGGTCGACCCCTGGCAGAAGACGAAGCCAGGACGAGGACAAGAATTCCGAGCTTGACGTTTTTCGAATCCTACCCTGCGTGTTCGACCACGGGCCCCTTGTTACCCACCGCTCTCCTGGGCTGTCTTCGGCGGTCTTCGGACGGCTTTCGGCGGTCTTCGGCAGTGTCTGGCGGTCTTTGGCGGTTTCCAGCGGTCTTCGGCGCGAAAGCTGGATGTGCTGAGTCCCACAAGGGGTTCATGATCAAACACCTAACCTCGGGGATGAACAGAACCCCCTTTAGTAAAACGTGGTTCAATGAAAACGACCTCGAGCCCAAACCTGGCGGGCGCAAGCCTGGAAAATATCACGGCCGCGGCGCCCTCTCGAGAACCGAACGAACACGGGCAATTCGCTCACCGACGTGTCGGGGTGGGGGCTCTGCCCACCCCCGATGACCCACCCCCGCCGCCCCTCGGGTTGCCTGCATCGTGGATCGGCGAGGGCAGGGCGGCCGCCCGCCCCACCCCACAAAGAGGAAGCAAGACGAATCCAGGACGAGGGCAACAGCGGGTGAGGAGACATCGAGAATCCGCCGACAGCTTGGGTTCGTCGGCGTGTGAGATGCTTCCCCCTCCCCAAACCCCTCCCCCAGGACCCCGGTCCGGTCAATTTGGAGGGGGGGAGGGGGTCCCCCCGGGGAGCGCCCGAACGCGACATGGGGGACAGGGGGCCCTAAAACCGGCCAAGAGGGCCCGAAGAGGGTCTCCGGAAGGTCCAAGAGGGGCACGAATCGCCGAAAGATCGCGCCAAGACGCTCAAGATTGGCCCCAGACGGCCCCAGAGGCCCCCAAGACGTTCTAAGAAGTCGCAACGGGGCGTTCCAAGAGGCTTTCGGAAAACCTCCACTTTTGGCGCATTCGCCCCTTGTGCTCTCACGAGGCCCACCCAGGTCAAAGCGGCCTTCAAGATCGACCCAAGACGGGCCAAGAGGCCCCCAAGAGGGCTCCAAGACGGCACACGAGGGCCCCATGACGGCCCCAAAAGCCTCCAAGACGGCCGAGGAGGCCCCGAGGACAGCCCCAATTGGGAGGCCTAGAGGGAGCCTGAACGGACATTTCGAGCTCCCGTCCCCAAGATGCCCCCAAGAGTCCCCAAAAAGCTTCCAAGAGGCCCCCAGAGAGCGCCAAAAGGGCCCCCAAAAGCACCCAGACGCCGCCAGGAGGCCCCCAACAGGTTCAAAAACTGCCTCCATGACGCTCCCGAGCCTCCCACGCGACCCCCATCAGCCATCCGAACGGCGTCAAACCCGCAACCCAGACCCAGGAGGCCCACCAGACCCCCGAAAGGCCCAGACGAGGCCCCCACTGGCAAGCATCTGCTACACCCCCAAGGGGTCGGCGGTGCGGCGTAAGCCCGAGAATCTCTGAGATCCGGCGGCTCTGGAGGATGCCTCGGACTTTTCGCGGTCTTCTCGGAGCGTTCGGAACGCTCCGAGAGCTCGGGGCGTCCAAGAGGGTGGGCGCACATCATCGCCGGTGGCATGTGCGCGGCCCATAGGGGGCCGGGGACGTATGGAAATAAGAAGGGGCGCCATGACATCTGGGAATATCGTGGCACCCCCCTGGCCATCTCCCCCCCTAGTCATCACCCCCCCCTCTTTGCCGCCCCCGAGCCCTCCCCGGAACGCTCCGAGAGCGTTCCCCCGGAGCACGCTCCAGAATGGACCTGCCCTCGCCCTGGCCCACTGTCGGAGAGCAGTCGCGGTCGCAGCACGTCTGCCCGCCTGGCGTCCCACCTTGCCGAGGCCGCGTTTGGCAGGGCTCGACCGACATTGTGTTTTTCGTTGTCATGCTGTTTTCGTGTTCCCTGGTTTTGTCTTCGATTCGCCTCTGCTGCAAAACGAAATCGAAACGTCGCCAAAACACCACTTCGGTCGACCCCTGGCTTCTTGAGTCCTTGAGTCCCCCCCGGCGGCTGCGCGGGCGGCGGGCAGGTGCGCGCGAAGCGTGGCGCGCGCGAAGCGTGGCCTCTCTCCTGCGCTGTCTTTTTGGGGGGCGCGAGGACCACAGGAGAGGAGACAGCCGGACCAGGGACAAAAACACATCCTTCAAGTTGGGCGCGAAGTTTCTGGGGAGGGGGGAGAGAGAGGTGCCCTTCTCGGTCCCTTTAGGGCCCCCGAAAGGGGCCCCTACAACGGCAGCCCTCGCTGCCCCCCCATGCATCGCCCTTCCATTATGCGTCCTCCGATCAAGGGCAAGGGACCCTCCGCCGGGCCAAGCACCCCAAACCAGAAGATCACCTCGCCGAGGGTACCCTTCCCCAGGATGCACAAGAGCATGCACACGACAAGCACGAATAACACTATAGGGTACCATCCGACCTCGATCTTATACTTCGGTCCGACCGTACATGCAGATTACACAGCCATGAGGGTGGATGGTCCATGCGTCCGACATGGGCATAATGACCGCCTTGCCTGCAGTGGTGTCTGGGAGCCCTGTCAGAAAAGCAACGCCTGACAAGCGGTCACGATGGACCGACCGTGTTTGAACCATAGTGTGAGGCCCCCCTGTGGGTGGGAAGGCATGACACTGACCAAAGAGGAAAGGCCGGGGATTGGCCGACGCGACCCCAAATGCTCTGCTTTAGGCATTCGCCCCCTAGTCCAGCAGCGACGATGGTGTCGGCGGTGGAACGAAGCGAGGACCGTCGCACGAGGACCCCCCCCCCAGGGTGGGGACAACAACAACTCGACCTCGGGGCAATGTCAGCTTGTCTGGGGACAGATCGCTGGTGCAAATGAAGCCTGTACCCGTCGCTGGCGCGAGCCGCCGCACCGATTTCGCCACAGAGGGGCGATGCACGCGGGAGGAGAACGAGGAGGCGAGACGAGGCTGTGGGGGGCAGCTCGTCTGCCGACAACCCCGGCGGCCCCCTCGAGCAGTTGATGTGGAGCGGAGGCCCCGCGATGGTGCAGGCCTGCCAGAAGGAGGGGGGGGGGAGGAGGAAGGCTTTGAGTGATGCTCCACTGTCCACATCGACGGCCGTCTCTGCCTCTCGGCGCAGGTCGGGTCCAATGTAGGACAACCTCCCCACATGTGAGCCGTAGGAAAGCAGCCTTGATGCAAGATGTTCCGCACGAGTACCGTCCACATGTTCTCGACTGCGGTGGCACAATTTTCTATGTGATAAGCTCCGCTATGAAAGAAGATACAGTGAAGCTACTAGCATAAGGAGTGCTAGATAAGAAACGAACCCCCTGCTGGGCCCCCCAAAGCGCATGGGTGCACGAGGAGCGAGGAACGACCATGGAGTGGCCGAGTGAACAGCGAGCCCCTTCCGAATCCGAACAGGTCCTTCTTTCAACGCCTGGACTGCGTTCGGCTGACCATCCAAGCGTATGCCTCTCCAGCCCAAGATAATCACTTCCTTCAGGTGCTATGTCTCCATATGGTCGGCTCCGGAAACCCTGAACCCTGGACCTAAAACAACTGTCGTCTCTTGGGACGCACCTATTCTTTCCATGGTCAGCTCCGGAAACCCTGAACCCTGAACCTAAAACAACTGTCGTCTCTTGGGACACACTTATTCTTTCCGCCGGCTTCCGCCAGCCGTCCGCCGCCTTCCGCTGAGGAAGAGACGTCAACCCCTTCTATCCTCGCAAAGCCTTTTCTGGAGCGCCGCGCATGGGCCTCAACTAGTTACCCCTCTGCGATGCGCGCGCGCCGCCGCCGAAAAGACGGCGGCGGCGGCGACGACGACCACGACCACTACTGCGACGACGACGACGACGACGACGACCCACGACCACGACCACGACCACTACTACGACGACGACGACGACGACGGCGACGACGACGACGACGATGACGGCGGCGGCGGCGACGGCGGCGGCGGCGACAGCGGCGGCGGCGGCGGCGAAGGCGGTGAAGGCGGCGAAGCCCGCTCCTCGCTCGGCAGCTCGGGCGCGGCCTGCGCGCCTGGTGCTGCGGGCGCCTGCTGGTGCTGCTGGTCCTTCAGCGCCGCCGAGACCTCGGGGGCGCGGCCGCGGGGCGCTCGCGGCCGCCGCCGCGCCGCCGCCGCCGGCGGGAGGCGAGGCTCCCGTCCAAGGGTCGACGGCACCGATCGTTCGGTTTCAGCTGGCGGATGGACTGGCTTCGAGGCGAAACGCAATCACTCGATCAGTCAGTCCATCAATCAATCGACAGGTGGGCGGGGTGCGGGACTCCTGGAGCAGGAACAGATCGGGACCTCGTCGGGACAGGCCCGCGCATAGTAGGCCCCCAAGTGAGCACGTCCCTGTGCCGACCTCCTTCTGAAAGTGCTGATGTAGAGCGGCCAATGTGGCGTTGGCCGTAGTGTTCAGAAGCCTAATTTCGTCCATGATGAAACACCCCGTGGCTGTGTTAATATCGGTCTGGCTCTAAATGTCCACGCTGGCCTTTGTGGGAGAAGATTCGCCGCGTGAAGCTGAGTTGCCTTTACGCAAAGGACATCGGTTCTGGTTGTGATGATGATGATGATGATGATGATGATGATGATGATGATGATGATGATGATGATGATGATGATGATGATGATGATGATGATGATGATGATGATATATTTGAGGTCGTCCAACTTCTTGCAAACATGATTGAAATATGATGGCTCCACATCTAAGGCCTCTGCTGATGCCTCGGTGCATGCGCTGTCCTCATCTTCAAACTTCCGATGTAAAACTCGGCAGAAGTGCCCTGCTCGGCTTTGCTTCTGTCCAGCTGCTCCTGGACCTTTGCCATAACTTGAGGCCCGTGCTTGCGTGATATGCCTCATGTAATTGTAACTGATGTCCAAGTGCCTGAACTTTTTGTACGTACCAGTTGGTAAGAGGCCACGCTTCTTTTCAACACTCGCTGCCTGATGGAGCCCTTCGAAATGCATCTCAGCAGCATCTGAGGATGCCCTCAACATACTGTTGTGCAAAGAACTGAGAATGGGACACCGGTCCATCTGCATAGACATCAGACAAGGAGCAGTACAATACACAGAAAAGGGAGGACTCTAATTAGAGACACTGCCGCGCCTTAGCCACAATGGCTACGGTGTTCCGCGCGGAGCGTCGACTGCTCCTCCTCCTCCTCCTCCTCCTTCTCCCTCTCCTCCTCCTCCTCCTCCTGCTCCTCCTCCTCCTCCTCCTCCTCCTCCTCCTCCTCCTCCTCCTCTCAGAGGCGACGATAGGGGCGAACAGCCCAGGGGAGAGCAATACATGTATCCAAGGGCGCCGATCATCTATGTCTTCGACAAGGCTCCCGGGCGAATACGTGTAATGCCCGCCCCTTGGCTATTCGCCCCTATCGTCGCCTCGGGCCTCCTCCTCCTCCTCCTCCTCCTCCTCCTCCTCCTTGATGAGAAGCACTGCCTGACCCCTGAGCCTCCCCCCTCGCCCTCGCTCCCGGGGCTCGGCCGCCCCCCCCCCCCCGAGGCCCCGGCGTGGAGGCACGAGGAGGGGAACGTCGCGTCGACGTCGCCCCCGGCCTCGGTCGGCCGCTCGGCCCGGGGAGGGCGCAGAAGAGGCCCCCTGTGCGGCTACAGGCAGTAGTGACCCCAGGCGAGAGAGTCCCTGCTGGCGGCGCGCACAAGGGTTCTTGGAGGCAAGGGGGAGGGGGGAAGGTCTCTTGGGAGGAGGCCGCATCTTGGAAGGCCGCTTCTTACAGACAGGGCCCGCGCCTTTCAAGAAGCAGGGGTGCTTCTACGCCGCCTTCCCCCCTCCCCCGAACTCCCTCTGCGCGTGGCCGACCTTTGGTGTGCTACTTTCGGGGGCCGCGGGGAGGCCGAACCCGAGCGCGCAAAACGCGTCGATCACATCGCGTTCAGTCTTCTAGGGGCCCCGGTGTGCCCGACCGGTTTCTCTGGCGAAAGGTCACTCTTACGTGGAGCCGACCTGCGCACCACGACACCGCCCAGCGAGGACCATCCTTCGACGAAGGAAGCATGCTAAGACGAAGCCAAGGCAATGATGACATCGGGTGAAAGTAGATCGGGAATCACTGAGATCCCGCGGCTCTGAAAATGTCTCGGGAGCCGCGGCCGTCGCAGCGCGTTCCGGAACGCACCGAGAATGTTCCGGAACGCTCTGGAGCGGATTCATCCGCGTTCTGTAGCCCCCGGCGAGGGCCATCCTCCGACGAAGAAAAACACGCATTGCCAGAGCAGAGCGCCCTAATAGCAACAGAGGCGAGGAAGCGGGCCGAGGAGCATGAGGTCGAGACACGGCCATGTGCACCGTCCTGTAGTGTGAACGTTTCCGTATTCGGCTTTTCGGCATTGGGTGGAAGGGGCGGGGGGGGGTCTGGCTCCGGACCTCTGCTCAGCGCGACTGTTTGCAACAATGCGTTCTATAGGGGAGACTCCACCTGCATGAAGCAGGCGCCAATAACGGCCAAGATCTCCTGCATGGACGGGAGAGGAGGGGGAGCGAGGCCCTGCGCCGATCGGCAAAACAGTGAATCAGAGAACAATCGCAGTGCCGTGCGGGGGATCGTGGCTGCCTGGACCAACGAGTGCAGCTGGCATATGTATAGCCGAGAGCACCATCCCGGAGCACATCGTGAACGATGCCTCCGGCGAAGCGGCTGCCGGACTGGGCGCCCTCGGGCTCCCCCCGTCCCCCCACGTGGGACTCTTCCGTGGTCCCTTCTTTTGCACCGGTGCCAGAGCCCTGGGGCATACACTAGAAGAAGAAGAAGAAGAAGAAGAAGAAGAAGAAGAAGAAGAAAAAGAAGAAGAAGAAGAAGAAAAACGCCATAAACATAAACTTCTGGCGCTGCGCGCGGATTTCTTGGCCCGCGCTGGACCCCCCTCCCCTGGCGCGCGAAGCGCGCCAGGGGCGGCGCCCGAGGCGCCACTTGGGGGGGCCCAGCGCGGCTCCAAGAAATCCGCGCGGAGCGCCAAAAGTTCATGTTTATGGCGTTTTTTCCTTCGTCGATGTACATCAGCTTTCGGAGGTCCGCGCGGATTCCTCGGATCTGCGCTGCGATCCCCCTGCCTGGCGTGCGGCGCGCGGGGCTCGCCAGGGGGCGGCGCTGGAGGCGCCGATCCCACAAGTCCGAGCAGACCTCCAACGAACACGCACTGAGAAACGATCAAAACGTGGCGTTGTTTTAGTCCTTGTGGCATGTCAAGAACCCAAAATGCAAAACGGTAGGGCAATAACCGGGATTCATAGATACATCTGTATATAAATAGACATTAAGAAACGAATAACTGATGCCGTGTCTCTTTCGAGCAAAAGGCACCTAATGCACAATAACCCTGCCGGGCAAGAGCCACCCTGGACCCTGGCACGTTGTTTCCCTCCTGCCAAGATCAATCGGCATCGAATCGGGAAATCGGGTCGAATCGGAATGTGTTTGGGATCGACCTGCATCTGGTACGGAATCAAATCAACATCGGGTAGTTTCTCACCGTGCCAACATCGAGTCGCATAGGATCAAATCGAATCGAATCGAGAAGGCCGAGATCGGCATCGAATCAGATCGAAATGACACCTGCCTCCTGACCGAGGCAAGGCATCGTGGCGGTACACAAGTACCCCCTGCTTAGGCAATGGAGGGAGGAGAGCCGCGGCGAGGCTGCCCACGAGCGCACAGCGCCTTCGCCGCCAGTCACTATCGATGTTGGCGATGCGGTCACCGTCTGTGTCTACGTGTCGGTGTCGGTTCAGGAAAATTTCAAAGCATAAGCTTTCAAATTGTCCTACGATGTCTTGGATCGGCGCTGCACCCCTCCCTGGCGCGCTCCGCGCGCCAGTGGCGGCGCCGTAGGCGCCCCCAGGGGGCCCCCAGGGCAGATCGAAGAAGTCTGCGCGGAACTCCAAGAATACATGTTTGTGCAGTTTCGCCGAATCATTCCCAGCCATCCCGTGGTGCTGGGTCCTCGCTTTGCAAAGATATTGCCCCGCGTCTCATTCCTCCTCCGCTCCTCCTCCCCTCCTCACTCCTCCCATCCCTGCCTCTGCCCTCCGCGTGTCCGTGTCGGCACACCTCTCATAGCTACCTACGTTTGCACATCTCACACGCTTCGTGGCCCAACAGTGAGCTCCACCGAGGGCTCCTGTGGCAGGGTCCGCATGCGTCACCCACGTGATTTCGGCGCATCCTTCGCATGTTTCGTGGCCCCTTTTGGGAGCCCCACCGAGGGCTCCTTTGGCAGGGTCTGCATGCGTCACCCAGGCAATTTCGGCGCACCCCTCACACGTTTTGTGGCCCCATAGGGAGCTCAACCGAGAGCTCCTGTGGCAGGGTCCGCATGCGTCACCCAGTTCATTTCGGCGCACCCCTCGCACGGTTTCGTGGCCCCAGAGGGATCTCTACCGAGGGCTCCTGTAGCAGGGTTCGCGTGCGTCCGACAGCCCATCTTTCGGCACACTCCTCACACGTTTCGTGGCCCGCATCCACATGTCCTGTGCCCCATCCTTCCCCAGCGAGCTGCCTGCGAGGGGGGTTGTACCCTGCGTAATTCGCAGCTGCATGCTGCATATGGTTGGGTCCTTCGCCAAGCTTATTTGTTTTCGCACGGCGCCTTCGCCTCCGTAACTGTCGCCGACGTCGCAGCCGTCGCCGCCGGAGACACGATTGCCGCTGTCGGTGTCGCCGTCGGAAGCGGTGCCTCGATGCAGGCAAGGCGAGCTGAGACAGTAGCAGCTCAAATCGGCCCCCAGACCTCTCCCCGGGTCCACTCGCACCGGCTTTCAGAGCTGCGTCCAGCCGTGGCGACACGGGTCTCCCCCCGCTGGAGGCTAACTACGGCTATCTTACCTAACTCTCCTCAGAATGTGTGCGTCGGCGTCGACGTCGGCGTCCGCGTGGCCGCCGCCGCCGCCGTCGCCCCGGAGGTCCTCCAGCAGCCGCTGGATGAGCTGCGGGCGGTCCTGCCTCATCCGCATGGCGCCGCAGCACGCCTGCAGCGTGGCAGCCGCCCTGCTGGAGCCGGCGCCGGGGGCACCTGCAGGGGGCTCCGCCGAGTCGTTGGGGACCCCGCGCGAAGACGCCCACTGCGGACGTGCAGCCACCGTGCTACCGTAGCGACCGCCGAGGGAGAAACGAGGCGGCTGTGCCGGCCACGGAGTGTCTCGGCCACGGACGGGCACGCTCCCCGACCTCGGCCCAAAGAGCGACCCGGGAACCAGAGCGCCGCCAGGGCCCAGAATGGCCCTTATCTCAGCGTCCTGACTGTAGGATGAGACTCCCATGCGCAGGGAGCCAACAAAGGACGTACGCGCCCAGCTATGCACATGAACACGGCCCCTTGACCCGCGAGACCGGCCGCGTGATACGAACATTCGCGCAATGCGAGCTCTCGAAACCAGCGTGGATTCATGTACGTGTACGTCCTTCTTTCGCTCCTGAATGTGGTCCGACGCGCTAGCGTCCCGGCTGGTGTCTTCCGTTCTCTGACAGGGCCACGCGGTGAAATTCGCGAGGGGCCCACGAGCACGGCTCACGACAGCCCTGCAGCGGTAAGGCTGCGCAGCCTGGCTGCCCATTCTCATGAACTCTGGCCAAGCAGTACTGCTGAGGCCAGTCCACAAGAAACCTTCCAACAGAAACCCAACCCTGAGACCGCAGGGCGTCCATTGATGTTTGGTGTGGGAACGTCGCGTTCTCCATCGCAAAACCATCGGAACCTAAGAAACCCAGTGCACCCTGGAGGCAAGCAGGGTGTTTCTTGGCATGGACCCCCAGTGTACCCCCGAGTCGCCAAAACTCTGCCTGGGCACACGGCCGAAACACGAGAGGCGTCTCGTCCTCACGCGAAGAACGGCGACAGCTCTGGACGAAACGGTGTTCGAAGAGGTTGCCTCGTCACTGGGGGGCTCACAGGACTGCGAGGAGATGTCTTCCAGCCACGACACACCTGGGACCAAATTAGCGACAACATGGCAAAGACAGGATCTGGAGGACTGCGCGTCTAGCGCGGCTTCCGAAAGGCCCGCGCACCTGGAAAAGAGGCGACGGACGATACGGGCCAGATGTTCTCCGTCTTTTCTTGCTGGCGGGCTCGCATTCATCGACCAAGTGCCGAAAGTTGACTGTGGCCGTGCGTCCGCACGTCGTGCAGAAAAACAAAAAAAACGCGGCCCAACCATAAGCATGCAGGAGCTTTGCAGAGCCTTTCCTCCCAACCGAATTCCGTCCACCGACCGAACAATCCCCCTCAGCTGGGCCCAGCTCGCAGTCTCAACAGCGATGTCTCCTGGCACTGACGAGCAAGCAGACGCACGCGCTGCAACGGTATCCTGAGTGCTCACAATGGCGCGGCACAAGCTACATACATTGGTGTGGGAAGGCTGCAACGCAAAGCAACGCTTGCTGCATTGGCTAGGTCGGCCACGCGGTAGTAGGCACATTTGAACACAGAGCGTCTCGAGATCTAAGAGCCCGCCCGGGCCAGAGCAGCGAATTCACCGCGCTGCGGCGTCTGCGAGTCACGGAGCAAAACAAGACGCGTCGATTGCACCCCTCTCCTTGCCACCGTCGCCGGGGAGGGCCCGGCCGTGGCCCGCCCGAGACTGCTCGAAAGTCTGCGGCCCAATGCAGCCGCCTGCCAAACCTGACCCGCTGAGATCGCAGTCGCCAAAGAGGGGGGGGAAGGATCGCTTCCGCCCGCGGGCCTCGGAAACGCGCCCCCAAGGTCGGGGGGGTAAGGTTGATAAAACCGTGTGTGCGTGTGTGTGTGTGTGTGTGTGTGTGTGTGCGTGTGTGTGTACAACGTCGTTTTTCTGTCTCGTGTTCTCATTCTCTCTCTCTTGCTTTTCCTCGTTCCCTCTCTCTCTCGCTGTCTCTCCCTCTCTCTCTCTCTGTCTTCGTCCGCTGACAAAAGGATTCCATTTGTTATGAATTTCGACTAGATTTCTTTTGTGAAGGTTTACACATGGATTCCTTGTGTGGCGGGCTCCAAAAAAGAATTCCTTTCGTGGCGGACTACAAATTAATTCCTTTTAAGGGCGGATCACACATTAATTCCTTTTGTGGCGGATTACAAAACGGATTTTTTTGTGGGAGGTTACACATTGATCATTTTTGTGGCGGATTACAAGCGGATTCCTTTTGTGGAAAGCTATTTAGCAGGAAACCAAGGAGAGAAAGACAAGCAACAAATATAAAATCACTGTAATCTGTGCAAAGCGTTGTCTGTTCAATGCTTTTGGTGTCGACAATATAAACATCATTGAGCACACAGCGCGTTCAGCATCCAGAGCTCCAAAACGCTGTTTGACAATGGTATTCATGTTCCGATGCCGAAATCATTATAAAATATACAGTTTTCAGCACTCGTGGATGAACAACGCTGTGTCTTACAGCGTTCATACGGATAAACATATATATATAATAAGCACGCGAACATGTGTATATATATACACATATACACACATATATGTATATACACATGTGTGTAGAGAAAGAGAGAGAGAGAGAGAGAGAGAGAGAAAGAGAGAGAGAGAGAGAAACAAAAAAAGAGAGAGGTAGATAGAGAGAGAGAGAGAGAAAGAGAGAGAGAGAGCAAACAACGTTGTAAAACACAGCGTGATTGGTATGCGTGATTGTTATATTTACAAAAACCAGAAAAAAAGTTGTAAAGTACATCTTGTTTTGCTCCAGAATCAGAAAAACGCTGTGAAACACAGCGTTTTGGAGCTCTGGATGCTGAAAACGCTGTGCTTTCTTACTTGTTTCCGCTGCCCCCGGCACCACAAACACTAAAACACCACACTTGTCACAGTGCTCATTGTTTTTTGTTTGGTTTGTCTTGCTCAACTTGCAATCAGCCGCGAAAGGGATCAATTTATAGTTTGCCCTAAAAGGGAAGCACGTTATAACCCGCCGCAAGAAAGAATTCATTTGTAATCAACCACACAAGGAATACATGTGTAATTCGCCACAACAGAAATCAATGTGTATTCCGCCACAAGAAGAATCGATGTGTAATAAGCCACAAAAGCAATCAATTTGCAATCCGCCACACAAGGAATCAATTTGTAATCTGCCACAATTTTCTTTGATCCGCCACAAGAGGAGTCCCGTTGTAATCCGCCACAGAAGCAATACTGTTGTAATCCGCCACAACAGAAAATCTTTTTTAAAACGCCACAAAAGGAATCAAGGTGTAATCCGCCACAAAAGCAATCAATGTGTAATCCGCCACACAAAGAATCAAATTGTTACCCCCACGAAAGGATTCCAGTTATAATCCGCCACGAACGGAATTAGTTTGTCACCGCCCACAAAAGAAATCCTTTTATTGTCCGCCACACAAGGGCTTGATGCGTAACCCGCCCTGATAAGGAATTAATTAGCATTCCGCCACGAAAAAGAAACAACATATAATCCGCCACAAAAGGAATCAACTTATAGTTTGCCCTAAAAGGAAACACTCTCTAACCCGCCCCGAAGTTATCCCTTCGTAACCACATAAGGAATATATTTGTAATCCGCCACAAAAGCAATAAATCTGCAGCCTGCCACTCAAAATGTTTTTTTTCTAACCGCTGCAAAAGGAATGCCTTCGTAATCCGCGAGAAAAGGAATTCGTATGTAATCCGCCACAAAATTAATTGTCTTGTAATCGGCCACGACAGACATTCTCCTGTAAAGCGCCACATGAGGAATCAATGTGTACTCCGCCACAAAAGCAATCAAATTGGAAACCGCCACACAAGGAATCAATTTGTAATCCCCCACAAAAGGATTCCAATTATAATCGGTCAAAAAAGGAATCCTTCTGTAATGCGCCACACAAGGAACCCCTTTGTGATCTTCCACAAAACAAACTATTTTGTAAGGCGCCAGAAAAGGAATCAATTTGTAATCCGCCACAAATGGAATGCCTCTGGGACCCGCCACAAAAGGAATCCTTTTGCAAGGCCGGGAGGAAAGCGTTGTGAGAAGTTCCGGAGCTGTGGAAAACATGGTCGGGAGGTCAAGCGGGAGGGGAGAGGAGGATGGATGTGGGAGAGAGGAGAAAGGCCGACGAGGAGGAGGAGGAGGAGGGAGGAAGAGGATGAAAAAGGGGAGGCGGAAAGTCTTAGGAAGGAGCACGGCATGATGAAAAGGGAAAGGGACGACGGCACGTAGAGCTGAGGGTGAACGGTCGGGAAGGTAGCACACAACACAGCAGTAGCGATAGCCGCGCTCCGTGCTCAGTCCATTTCGCTACCACTTCACACTGTATCGTAGCAGAGGGCGCAGTCCATATTCAATGCGTATGATGATCTGTAATGCATTAAGGACACACTCTACAGCGCGTATGCCAATATCATTGTTATGACCACTAGTAGTCGTGGCAGCAGTGGTAGTGGCAGTTATGGAAAAGGTAGTGGTAGTAGTAGTAGTAGTCGTAGTAGTAGTAGTAGTAGTAGTAGTAGTAGTAGTAGTAGTAGTAGTAGTAGTAGTAGCAGTAGTAGTTAGTAGTAGTAGTAGTATAGTAGTAGTAGTAGTAGTAGTAGTAGTCGTAGTCGTAGTAGTAGTAGTAGTAGTGTAGTAGTAGTAGTTAGTAGTAGTAGTAGTAGTAGTAGTAGTAGTAGTATTAGTCGTAGTAGTAGTAGTAGTCGTAGTAGTAGCAGTAGTAGTAGTAGGAGGAGTAGGAGTAGGAGTAGGAGTAGTAGTAGTCGTAGTAGTAGTAGTAGTAGTAGTAGTAGTAGTAGTAGTAGTAGTAGTAGTAGTAGTAGTAGTAGCAGTAGTAGTAGTAGTAGTAGTAGTAGTAGTAGTAGTAGGTAGTAGTAGTAGTAGTAGTAGTAGTAGTAGTAGTAGTAGTAGTAGTAGTAGTAGTAGTAGTAGTAGTAGTAGTAGTAGTAGTAGTAGTCGTAGTCGTAGTAGTAGTAGTAGTAGTAGTAGTAGTAGTAGTAGTAGTAGTAGTAGTAGTCGTAGTGGTGGTGGTAGTAGTAGTAGTAGTAGTAGTAGTCGTAGAAGTAGTCGTGGTTGTGGTAGTCGTATATAAGAAATCGTTGTAATGGTAGCTGCGGTAGGGCGCAGCGCGCAGTACACAGGAGTAGCAGGAGCATAGTCATTGCCGACAGTGCGTGCTAGCATAGAGCGCACAATGATGCAACGCTTGTTGCGCAGTGGGAGCCCAGGAGGGGAAACAGGAACGAACCCAAGAGGTATGCCAGTATCATGATACTGAGAATGCGTGCGTTATTGAGATGCAGATAATCATGATGATATGGGGGTGATTATGACGATGGCGTGGATGGTGCTGATTATGATGATGATGCTGATGATTATGGCGACGGTGATGCCCGCGACGAACGTGCTAATGATGAGGAGGAGGAGGATGGGGAGCATGCGATTATGTATTTGTTGATGATGATGCGGTTGGTGGTGATGATGGCGGTGGGAATGGTGATGATGGTGATGATGAGGCTTAAGACGACGATGATGATGATATTGGTGATGTAGATGATGATGGTTGTGGTGGCGGTGGTTGCGGTGCAAATGATGGTGGCGATGGCCGCGGGGAGGAAGAAGAGGAGGCGGAGTAAGCACGAGTAGTACTGAAGAGGCAACATGGGACAGGCGGGCCGGATGGGTTCAGAGAAATCCGAAAGGAGGATGCGGCAGGGATGCGGATGATGATGATGATGCTGATTCCGAGGATGGACGTGGCGGTGGTGACGATGATGATCACGACGAAAGTAAAAAAGGAATACTCATTCGGAGTCATGAGGTGATAATGATGAGGAATGGACGGGCGATGATGATGGGGATGGCGGGGGTGATCTTTCTGATCGGTGATTGTAGTGATTGTGGGTTGTGGCAATGGTCACAGTGGAACTTATAATCCGGATAAGGAGGACCCAGGGTAAGCATGATTCGCTCTGAAGAGAATGAGAGAGAGAATAAAAAACAGTAAGGATGAGGTGAGAGGGGCGATGGTGACGGTGGTGATGATGATGGTGATGATGATAATAGTGATGCCGATGACGATGATGATGGTGATACTGATAGTTGTAGTGCTGATGATGATGCGATGCCGATGATGCTGCTGATGATGGCGGTGCAACACAGCAAAACGAAGTGGTACGCACACACCGTTTTATCGACTCCATGGGTAAGGGACCGCGGCGGGAGTGCATTTCGAAGAGGGGACCAATTTGGCCAGCGGCGTCAGCCGCTTCCGAAACATCCCCATCGATCAGACTGGATCGCGTCGATTCGAAACGCGAGCACTTCCGAATCCCGCGAATGCGGGGGGGGGGCGCCAAGCTGCCCGCGCGCAAGACGCGACTGCGCGCCCCCAGGGCATCGCACACGAGGCTTCCGATTGAGCCCTTCGCCATGGCCGACCACCGCTTGGATCGAGGCTGATCCCGCGCGACATCATTGCGCGGGCGACTGCAGGACAGCGCTCGCTCAGCGCAAAGCCGGCGCTCGAGTTACCGACGAACAGCGGCGCGAAGAAACTTGTTGGGCCGAGCGGGGGGTGGCCGCCGCCAGCTGGATCTCTTCTCCGCGGCCTGGCGCGAGCGCGGCCAAGTTCGACGCCTCGCAGAGCATCCTGGCGAGCGATATGCTCGCGGCCGACAGCAGTCCGCTCGCCCGACTCCGAATGGGCCGAAGCCGCCCGAACAGCCCGCCCCCGAGCGCGTCTATGAGGGGGGCGGGGGAGCGATGGAGGGCAGACGTTCGCTTGGGCCGCCCGCGCTACTTTACTGCGCCGAGCAAGCGGGGCCACCGCCCCGACCGAGGCGGGGCCGTCGCCAGGGGGGGGGGGTCGAGGCGAGGAGGCGACCATAGGCCGCATGACGCATAGCTTTCCCAGCTCCCCCCCTGGCCCCCCCCGACCCGAAATTCAAGGCGCTGCGCGCGTCGCCCCCGCAAGGTGCCCCGGGGAGGGCCCCCGCGCGCCAGGTCCTTCTGCCGGAACTCCCGAAGCTGCAGGAGAGCCCGACCATCTTCTTGGTCGTGGCCTTCAGGACTCTGAAACGAAGCTTTTCGCTGCGTTTCGCTGCCCTCCCACGCCCGCCCGAAGCGCCGTCGACCCCGATGTTGATCGCGCCGGCGGGCCCCCTGCAAGCGGGCCGACAATCTCGAACAATTGCGACTTCGCCTCCTTGCTGGACGCGGCGAAGGCGGTCTCGTCGCAAGAACTGCTGCACTCGACCCGAGGAACGATGGCGCGATGCGGGCTGCCGAGACGGCCTTCAGACGCGGGGCCACTTCGCTGGCCGCGCCCGCGCATGAAAGGCCGCCATCATCGATGCTCTGGTCTAGCTGGGCATTCGGGGGGAAAACGAATTTGCCCAAACTTTCGACGCAATGAAGCACGGCGCACGAGGTCGCCAATCTGCGCGCCGCGAAGACCCCGATCCAAGAGAATATCGACCCTGCGATCAGAGCGCCCGCGCGCGCAAACCCGGCGCAACGAAATGCTGCCGGCGACAACCATTGAAGCGCAGGCGGGCGCTGGAACTGGGCGCAGTGGATCCCCAGCCTTTCCAAAGATATCCCCTCGTAAATCTTGATCATGTCCCAAAGAAGGGTGCCCGAACATAAACCTTTTCACTTCGGCGACGTGTTTCAGCGACGGCGGGGCCCTCGAGCGCACTCTCGGGCGCTCCGGGGGGGCGGGCGGGACCCGTCGAACACAGGGGCCCGCGAGTAGGACGCTCTGCAGTGCAACTCGAGCCGCGCGGGCGCTTGCGGAGCGATGTTCGACGCACTGCGCGGCGTTATCTTCCCGATCCTTCGCGGCGCCTTTCGCGGCCGAAAAAAGACCCTGCACCTTCATCTCGCCGGCGGTCTGGCGCGCGCCGTCGCGCGCGAGAACGAGCGCCCCTGACTTCGCTTCGGGAAACTGCTGCTCGGGACCCCCTCGGGGCTGGCGTCGAAACCCCTGGCCGCGCGCATCTCCGAAGCGCGAGCGCCGGAGATGCTTCGACAGCGCGCGTCAAGATCACTGTCCGAATAGCCCGCGGAGCACGACGGGTGAACGTTAACCAGCTGCGGCAGGAAGGAGCCGCCTTCTGGGAAATGCGCAATGCCCGCGACAGCCCCAGCAGGGCAACGTTCGGAACCGCGTCGAGGGCGGGGTTGCGCGCCGAGGGCGCCGCGGCCGATGATGGCCAAGCCGCCTGAGCTGCCATCGTCTTTTCCTGGAAACGCCGGGGGTGGGAGGGATATTTCTCTGCATCATCAGCAGCAGCAGCATCATTATCACCATCAACAAGCAGATCATCCTCATCCTCATCCTCCTCCCTCTCCTCCGCCTCCCCCTCCCCCTCCTCCTCCTCCTCCTCCTCCTCCTCCTCCTCATGCTCATCCTCATCCTCATCCTCATCCTCATCCTCATCCTCGTCGCCGCCGCCGCCGCCGTCGCCCCGCTCTCGCCCGCCATCGCCACCGTCGGGAGGCGGCTGTCGGGAGCCCGCCTGCGACGCCGTCCCCGGGCCCGGGGGCTGCCATGGGGCCCACCCAGGCAGGCGGCGGGCGGCACCTCCTCAGGGCCTACCGGCGGGTCCTCGCGGGCGCGGCGCCCACCGCGGGAGGCATCTCGGGCCTCTGGCGGGACGTGCGGCGGCCGCGCCGCTGCGGCGAGGCCGAGGCCCGCGGAGGCCCCGGCAGGGGCGCGGCGTGCGCGGCGCTGGCGCCAGCGGACCACAGGCGGGCAGAGCGCGGGCAGGCGGCGCAGGCGCACGGGGCACGCCGTGCTGCAGCCGCGGGGCCTCGGGCTGGAGCAGCGGGTGGGCGGTGAAAAGGATGGGGCCCTGGGGGATGGGGTGCTGAGGATGGGAAGGGAGCCAAGTGCGGATCTACACTCGTGAGGAGGGGGCTGGCTCGGGGGAAGGGGGGAACCACGAGCTGGAATGGGCGGAGCATCGCCGATGGATCGGCGAGTGGCCCCCGAGAGCAGATCTGGGCGGTTCTGGGCGATGTGGGCTAGTGAGCCCTTCTATCGGCGATCAGTGGACGATTGAGGATCGATGCGCCCCCCACCCCCGAGCCTGCCCCTGAGAGGAGGAGAATGGAAGGGGGGGGGGAAAGGGATGAGGGGGCCCAAGGAGACGCACAAGTCAACAGACACAACTGCCAGGATGTCCCATACGTTTACACATTTTCTGGGTGTTAGTCTTCCCCTCCACTTCTTTGTCCCAGCCGCGTGGCCGATGGCAACGACCGCATTGACCAAGCCATCGCTGGCTCCATGCTGTCTGCAAAGCAAGGAGTTCCTTGCATTGCCATCAAGAGCTGCCAATCGTGCACTCTTCTGCCCACGCGTCCTTCTGGGTGCTCGGATCAGCCATGCAGTGCCTCCACTTCCCCTACAGCAGGAACTTGACCACAAGGAAGCTTCCGCAAGAAACCCGACCCTGAGACCCCAGGACGTCCATCGGCACACGAGCGAGGAGCGGCAGTAGCAGCACGACCGAGACCCTCCACCGCTCACATCGCCTCCCCTCTCCCGCAGACCCCTGGAGTTACACAGCCGCCTCCTCTTCCTCCGACTCCGCCCTGCTCCCCCTCGTTGTCTCTCGTCGCCGTCGCCGCCCTCGCCGTCGTCTCTCGTCGCCTTCGCCGTCCTCGTCGTCATCCTTCTCGGACGTCGTCGTCGTCGTCGAAGGAGGAGGCGGCGGAGGCGGAGGCGTCGGCGTCGGCATCGGCGTCGGCGTCGGCGTCAGCATCGGCGGCGGCGTCGGCGTCGGCGTCGGCAGCGGCAGCGGCGGCGACGTCGGCGTCGGCGTCGGCGGCGCAAGCGACGTCGGCGTCGGCGGCGTCGACGTCAGCGTCGGCATCAGCGTCGGCGTTGTCGTGGTCGTCGTCTTCGGCGTCGTTCTCGCCATCGACCTTGTCGTCCTCGTCGCCCTCGTCTGACATCGTCTGCGGGGGACCCAGGTAAAACTGCAGGATGCAGGAGGGCGAGTTGGGGTGAGATCGAGAATCCAGTTCGTTGGCAGGAGAGCCCAAAATCAAGTCGATAAGTCAGATCGGCGATCGAAATGAATCGGATCGGCGGATCGGCGGAAATCGGCAGCTGAGTCGGGAGAAGTCGAACCGGCCGAAATCGGCAGCCTAATATGCCTTCGTTAATACATCAGATTCCGATTTGGGTCGAATCGGATCAGAACCAGCATCGATCGATATCGAATCGAATCGAATCGGGGGGGGTCTACATGAGCCTTGGAGGGGGAGATCGAGGGTCGAAGTCGTTGGGCGTGTTAGAAAGGGCGTCTCGCCGGCCTTTGCGCTCCCGACCTCCCCGTCTCTGCACACCCCCGTCAGCCTCCCCGGCCCCCTCCTCCCGCACTCCACTTCTCGCCCCCCCCTCCCCCTCCTCAGCCCCTGCCCTGCACCCCGCCTCTCCCCGCCCATCTCAAGCATCCCTTGATCCTACGCCACAGGTTAACCACATCTGCCCTATATATATGTATATATGTATATATATATATAAAGAAAGAGAGAGAGAGAGAGAGAAAGGGAGAGAGAGAGAGAGAACAAAAAAAGAGACAGACAGACAGAGACAGAGACAGAGACAGAGAGATAGGGAGAAATGCAAGAAGACAGATCGAGCGGGCCGTCGCTTACGTAGAGGCAGAAGTGTGAGGGCAGGCAGAACGACGCAACTGAGAGCCGAAGCAAACATGGAAGTATGACGGGGCACGGGAGCATTGCCCCACTCATCCTGCGACCGAGGAACTGAAGCGCGGGTGGAAGCATAGCGCTTGTTTCGTAAAGACGCTTTCGGCATTCCACGCGCTGCGTAGACCTCGATGTTAGCACACAGGCGAGGGAGCGGTGACTTCTGTTGCTGCCGCCATCGAGACGCGAGACATCCCCTCTAATCGCCCACACTTCCCAGTCATCCTCCCCCTCTTGTCCTTGTCTAATTACGTAGTCCTCCTCCTCCTCCTCCTCCTCCTCCTCCTCCTCCTCCTCCCTCCAATCCTTTTTTTTCTCATAGTTCTCCTCCTCCTGTACGTCTTCCTCCTCCTCGGTCCTGCGGTTCGAAGACCCAGGTTTGCGCACATTTAGACAATGCGTGGGGCCTCTGGGGGCCTCCGAAGACTTCTGGAGATCCCCGGGGACCCCCTCGGGCCAGCGAGAGCTCTCCCTCCTTCCCCTCTAACCTCGTCCTCCTCCTCCCCTCCTACTCCAACTCCTAGAAATGGAGACACACAGAATATAAATCCGACATATCACCGCATGACCTGGCCGGCACTTTGACGGTTCAGATGCAACTCTTGGACATTAAATGACCTGGAAGCAGTGGTGTTGCCAGCGGTGCAGTGAAAACACTCTTCAGCCTCAAGCTCGGTGGCACCTTCCACTTCCGAAATGAAAAGAATCTCCTGAGTATCCTGCCGAGATGATTTACCAACCCCCGATGAGAGCAATCCGTTTCGGCCCATTCCCCGACCAAATGAAAATCCGCATCTGTCCTCCTCTCCTGTTTCCCGTTTCCTCCTCATCATCCTCGTCCTTATCATCCATCCCCTTTGCTCTCCCGTCGACCCCCCCCCCCTGAGGGGGAAAAGGAGACGAGGATAGTCCAGCATTCCAACTCCGCCCTCAATGAAGGATCACGCCTCCCTCCCTCGCTCCTCGTGATCCTGCTCTGCTTTGACGTAAAACCTCGGCCTGCCGTGCCTGCCTGCAGCGACGGCCGTGAGACATCAAACGAACTGGATAAGAAAGGCGCATCGCCGTTTGAACCGCCGTCATCACGCCACTCGTCATAATCATCCTCGTCATCGTCAGCATCATTGTCATCATAACGTCATCGACATCGATACTGGCATCGGCATCATCATCAGCAACAGCAACAACAATCACACCACCGTCATTACCAGCGCCATGCTAATCATGAACATCAGCATCATCATGACCAATACCATCACCACCACCACCATCAACACATAAGAATCGCAATCGCCAACTTTATCTTTGTCCTCATCATCATCAGCAGCAGCAGCATCGCCGTCATTGCGTCGTTGCCAGCCTCCTCATCACCCTCCTCCGCATCGCTATCCTCACCATCGCCATTGCGTCATCGTCATCATCAGCATAGCATCATCAACATCATCGTCATTATCGTCATACTTACCAACACCACTACCATGATCATCGTCACCGTGCCATCATCATCATCATCATCATCATCATCATCATCATCATCATCATCATCATCATCATAATCATCATCATCATCATCATCATCATCACCATCATCATCATCATCACCATTATCACAATCAACACCGCCACCATCACCATCATCAGTGTCGTCATCATCATCACCATCATCGCCCTCGTCGCCGTCGTCGTCGTCCTCATCATCAGCATCATCCTCACCACCACCACCACCACTATCATCATCAGCATCATCAGCATCATCATCAGCATCATCAGAATCACCATCGTCCTCACCACCACAACCACCCTCTTCATCATCAGCAGCATAATCATCAACATCATCATCACCACCATCATCCATCACTCGCAATCCACCATCCATCATCCCTCATGCACCATCAATCACTCACCATCACCGTCACAATCACCACCACCATCACGGGCACCAGCACCAGCACCAGCACTAGCACCATCACCATCATCATAGTAACCATCATCATCATCATCATCATCAGCATCATCAGCATCATCATCATCATCATCACCATCACCATCACCATCACCATCACCATCACCATCATCATCATCATCATCATCATCATCATCATCATCATCATCATCATTACCATCACCATCACACTCGCCATCATCATCACTAGCATCATCATAACCACCATCTGGATATCCTCATCATCTGGATAACTGATCTGCATCATCTGCTGCTCCAGCCTGCTGCCTCCTCCCCCCCTTGGCCGACGCAGGCGAACAACGGCCCGGGCGCCGTCGCGCGCACAGGGCGGGCCCGCGCGCGGCAGGCAACCAGGCGTGCGACCCACGGAATCGCGCAAGAGGAGCTCATGCCCCCTTGAACATACCTAAGCGCGTCAAGCAGCGGACCCAGCCCGACCGCCTCAACCTCGGCCACCGACAGGATCGCCCCGAGGGGGAGCTCGAAAGGTGTGGTTTGCAAAAGGTGTGGTTTGCAACCACCACCCTGGGGTCCACCATGGGGTGCAGACGGGAATCTCGATTGAATTCTCCGCCGCGCCCCGAGGAGGACCGACGAGGACAGTGTCGTGCCCACCAGGCCCCAACGGCGCCGATCGCAAACCATCCCGGCGGAACCACACCCTGCGTAGTCGCCGAGCTGGTCGGGTCGGACGAATGAGGGGGGGGGCACAGGAAGGGTTAGCGAATCAGCTTCGGGCTTCCACTGACCTGAGTCAATGCAAGCCTGTGTCCTGGGTTGATGCACGCCCTGGTTAGTCGGGCTTTGCAGGATCCTGCGGGATCCTGCGCTAGCATGGGCCAGTGCACCTCTGGCTCAGTACAGG